GGAATTCTGGGAGTTGAAGTCCACTCATCTTAAAGTGACCAAGTTTGGACAACACTGCACTAGACCCAAGAGATTTTTTTCATTCTAGTACTGAAACTTCTGCTCCCTCTATTGGATGCCTTTTCCTTTGTTGTAGTGACATACAGTTGCATATCTGCATTTGGTTTGCATAGTGTCCTGTGCTCTGTACTCTGCCCTAGGCCAGACGAGAAAGAAACGCTAATACTGTTTGAAATTTGGAAATATAGAATTTTAAATAAAAAATATAATTATATTGGGGGGGGGGAATCCAACTATATGCAAAATTAAAGGACAATTCAAATCTGTTTCCTGCAACTCCAGGCAGCATAACCAGTAATGAATAACGTTTGGTTGGGTGTACATTTCCTACCCCAGTCTACAAAACTATATAGCTTATCTGTTTTCTATCTTAAGAATTAGTATGAATAGCAATCACTTGCAATGGTATATATTCTGATCAAACAGCCCTACATTTTGGATTTCATGAAACACTATCCTCTCTTTCAGTAAAATCACAGATGATAACCAGTTAGAGCAGGTGGATATTCTCCTTCCCCAGAATGCTCTTATTCAATGCCTGACACTTGTAAAAGCTTCTGGGTGTATATGGTAAGGCCTCTTATTTATACTGTATTAATTATTTACTGTATTTATTGCGTAAACCTCTATAAAACAATCAGCTGAATTGTTTTGGGAGGTGGGGAAGATGTTAATTAATTGCCTTCTTAAAATGGAACAGTAAACTGAATAATCAAATTCAAATTACAGTTTCTCAACAAATATTACATTGAAGGGTCCTTGATAAGACTCCTACTGGCTTAACTAATATATTGATTTATCATAATTAACATGCTGTCAGGCTAAAAAACTGCATGGGTTATTTTTAGTAATGCCAACTTCTCATCACTGAATATTCTTTCACAAGAGACAGCTCCAACTAATTAATGTATGGTTGGTTAACTATTAAAAAGCAGTAAAGTCAACTTTCAAAGTGAGTCCAGCTTTTGTTGAATTCATGGATTTCCTGGAAGTATCATGGAAGTGGTTTACAACTGCCGTCTTCCAATATTTTTTCCCTCAACCTCAATCTTACAGGCCTAGTATTCCTTTGAGGTTTCCTCTTCCTGTGCCAAAAAAGTCCAGCACAATAATTTTCAAGGTCAGAAAAGGTCAGCCAAGTGCTCAGATAGTTAACCTGCTGAGATAGTTAACCCTATTAACTGAGTTCAGTTAATTTGATTAGACAGTTCCAACCGTACCATCTACAGTATCTCCTTCAGGTTTTTCCAGACAGTTTTGCCAAAAGAACCCTTTATAAAAAATCTTTTTAAAATCATGATGTTGGTCTTTTAATTTGAACAGCTATTTATAAGTTAACTTGATGGCTTTCTTTATTTATTTTAGAATATTAAATCAGATTTCATGCTTTTAAAGTTATTATTATAATTATTTATTATACTCGCCATAGGTATCAATTATAAGCCTCCAGAAGGAAAAAAAAATTGATATAAATTTTGTAAGAAGCAAAGAAATATAGTTTGAAAAGAAAAGGATTTCAGAAGTGGACTTGATTTCAGACTGAATATATATCTCCAGCAGATCACGGCAGGTTGAAGTTAATGAATCAACAGAGTATTATTAGTACCCTAAGAAGCATTGAGACAAAGTGGAATAGGTTCAAAAAAAGAAAGACCAAAAGGAAGGAAGGAAGGAAGGAAGGAAGGAAGGAAGGAAGGAAGGAAGGAAGGA